CTTAAAAAACTAAACTTGTCCTAACTAACCTGAGCAATACTTTTCCAGAGGTCTTTGAGCAGTTGGATGCTACTCCTGTGTGAGAGGCTGCTTTCTCTTTCTGCCTCCTGCTGCATGCTTGCATTCCTCTCATTGCCCAGGAGTTTGCTCAAGTGTAATGTGTCACAGAAGGACTCTCGTGTGGGCCAGATGTCTATAACACTATGTTCTTCTTCACAGTTACTATTTACTTCTCTAATACCATGCGATGTATGAAGTATAGACTGTGTCTGGTACTCACATTTAGTAAATGACAATCTGATGCATGAGAGATCTTTCTAGGGTTTAGTATGTTTAGCACATAGTCAATGCATTGAGCAACTTGGCAGCAGAAAATGAGCTATCGATTTGTCTTCAAATTGTCAATGTTTTTGCCTTTTCTGTGACATGGTATCTAAGAACACCATAATAAAGTACTGTCCATGGGAAAACGCCTAGAGCACTGGGAGAGACAGATTCTAGTCACTTTTTCATCATGTCGAGATTGATGTTTGTGAAGAGGGACACTAATCGGGAGGGAAAGGCAACCAAAGCTCGTTGAAAGAGATGGTATTTGAGCTACCTTTTAAGGTAGGCTAACTTGGTGTGGTGGAGCCGATCTTAACCCACTCCTTCAGAAAATGTGACTTTCCCCTAATGTTTTGAGAGCTTATTTGATCTCTGAGTCTCGGACTCTTAGCAAGTAAAAGTGGGGTTCTTTAGACATCATGAAAATGTTATAGAGATTAGACGGAAATACATGCATGGTAAACTCATGTATAAGGTTCGTGGTTGTTACACCTTTGGCATCTAACTAACAACAGAAACAGTAAAGAAAAGGCATGTTATCGGACTCTTTGGTGTCTTGTCAATCTCTTATAAGTTAAGAATCACAGGCAGGCCAGTTCAGGTACTCTCTTCACAATTGCTTAGGGTCATAGCTGGGACCATCCTTGTGGATTTCTGGGAATTTCTCTAGTGCCAGGTTTCTTGCTAGGCCCCATAATGGATCCCTCAATCAAATTACCTTGTTCCTTGCTCTCCCTCCCTGGATGACTGTCTTAAATGTCATCATAGAGCCTTCATCCAGTGGCCGATGGAGGCAGATGAGGAGATCCACAGCTGAATACTGGGTCGAGCTCCCAAAGTCCAGTCAAAGAGAGGGAGGAGTGATAATATAAGCAAAGGGGTCAAAACCATAAAGGGAATACCTACTGAAACAACTTCCCTGAGCTAATGGGAATGCACCAATTTTGGCCTGACAGCGGGAGAACCAGCAAAGGACTAAACCAGACCCTCTGAATGTGGGTGATGGGTGTGTCTGGGCAGACTGTAGGGTCACTGGCAGGGAGACCAGGATTTATTCCTACTGCTTGTACTGGCTTTTTGCAACCCATTCTCTTTGGAGGGATACCTTGCTTATTCTAGATAAAGTGGGGAGGGCCTTGACCCTACCTTAAAACAATGCACTAGACTTTGTTGACTTCCCATGGGATTCCTTACCTTCTCTGAGGAGTAGACGGGATGGGGGAAGATGGAGGGAGTGGGAAGAGGGGAGGGAGTGGAAACTGTGATTGGTATGTAAAATGAGAAAAGCTAGTTTTTATAAATATAAAAATAAATTTAAAAAAGTATATCAGGCTTTGTCCATATTAACATATGTGTTATGCATGTAGAGGACCAAGGTTGCTTTCTCAAATGATCCTTCATCATTTTTACCATATTCATTGAGGCAATGTCTCTCAGTCCCTGAGGGACAGGGCTCACTGATATGTCTAGTCTTGCCAGCAAGCTTGCTCTGGGATCTCCCAACTGTCTTGTAAGGTTGGCAATACAGGTAGGCTACCATGTTCACTGGCATTTAAATTGCTTCTGGGGATCTGAAGTCTTACACCCATGTTTCTCTTGCATTTATTTGGTGACCAAAATGCCTGTCTTGTCCTGGGACGCTATTAAAAGTTAGGGTTCTCAACAGTCCTATATTTGTGAGAAGTGATGTATCAACGAAATCAAATATTAAGACTAAACATGCATGACATTATAAACCTTTACATTAACGGATTCATTTTCCAAGGGTAATCTGAGATCGATACAAACCACTTATGTTCTTTCCCTAATATGAAAACTGAAATCCAATGAGGGAACATGGAGTTCAAGGTCATTTGAACAGCTGCTATTGGAGCCAGCCTCCATGCAACTCCTTCACTGTCCTCCCAGGAGCAGAGTGAGGCAAAAGCCACCCATATACTTTTTCTTAGTATGTACTACACAGTCAGATTATTGTAGAAAAATCAAATACAGAAGTGACTGAGTATGTACAAATAGCATATATTCTGGAAGAAATAGGCATTAACAAAGTGAACACACTTCAGAAGTTAATAAGTCATTAACAACATTTCCAGCTTCGGGGAGGAGGGTAGCGATTTACAAACATGTGTAGTTTTTCTTTCTTTCTTTCTCTCATTTGAGTTAAAATCCCCTAATATCACTTTATCTATTTAGAATGCCATTAAAATTTTATCCAAGTCCATAATGGATGTGTTAAAGCATCCATCTGCAGAGTGCTCGGCTTCCCACGTAAATTTCTTTAAGACGACTCATGCTCAATAAAAATTAGAATAAAATGAGAAATCTGTTGACTCATGAAAGTGAAGAGCAAGAAACTAAAGAGGAAGTATAAATGAATAAAGGTCTATAGTATTAACTCACACTTGAATGATAGCTCATAGAATAATAATTTTGTTTTAATTTTATACAAAATTATTTAAATTATCATATAATTTATTTATTGTATTATAAAATCATTAAATATATTTAGAAGATATGAAAAAAGAAACAACGAATATCTACCCAAATCCTTAATAAGATGCTAGCACTTTAACAGATTATGTCCTTCTAGGTGTCACAGATGTAGTCATATGTATCTTTGGTGTATTTATTTTCATGTGTATTATAAAGTATTTTTGGAATTCGATACCATCATTTTTTCCATAGATTTTCAGTACAGGAACGAAGAGACAGAGAGAAAGTGAAAGAATGACAGATCCAAGTAGGGGTGTGAGCTTGTCAAACGAGACTCACGTGTCACTATGCTTACAAACCATTTGAAGGATTTTGGTCAGTTCTTCAGCTATTATTATTAAAAGCTAAGAATAAATATAAATGGGATCACAGGATGATCCCCAAGGTGCATCTAACACTGATCCAGTTGATGATGTAAAACCTTACATCACAGGGATGCAGCGAACAAAAGTTAATAGGCTTGTTTGAGATGCCTATAAGACATCTTCCAGCGGTACAAAGGCCTAACCAAAGTCATACCCATTGGGGGCCTTAAGTTTGGTACATTGCTATTGTCATCCAGAATATCTATATAAGAAAGGACTACTTGGAGAGAGGAGAAGAATCGAGAACACAGTGAGACCGGTTTAGCTGCATAGGTTCTGGGTTTAGAAGGGTTGCATTTACATTGTGCATTGTACCTCATAAACCATACTGCCACCACACACCTGCCATTCCTGCACGTGCCTTTTATGTTTGTGCATTGGATGCTTTTGCCAAAATGAAAACGACATTACAAAAATAGTCAGCAATGATTCCACCCCTTAGAGTGGGGTGATTTGTTTTTGTATCCATATAAAACATACGCTTTGAGTTTATAAACAATAAGTCATCTAAGGGCGATTCTCCAATGACAAAGGTTCTCTCGCAACACTCACAACCAGTAGTGTTAATTGTGATAGAGTCCTTGATTCTCAAATGATGATAAGACTCAGCCATACCATGTGTGTCCCCCACCCTTTCCAGATGTTGTTTTATTTTTTCCTCTTTTTTTTTCAAAGAAAAGAATATTTAAAAGCTTTTCTACTTTTACTAGAACTTGGATATTGGAAGAGTTTTGTTCAATTCGATTCAGTCTATGTTTAATTATGTTTTAAACTTACTGTAAAACTATTTAAAATTGATTTACATAACGGATATGCTTTGTATCCTTGCAATGACATAGTCTTCTAAAATGATATCGAAATATAACTTAGTATTTCATTGTATTTAATTTTATAAGATGAATATTATATGGGTATATAAGGAAGTAGTAAACATATTTTTGAGCCTTTACTGTTATAAACAGTACAAATTCGAGCAGTCTTTGTGAAATTTGTCCAACTTTTAAAATGTAATTGTGTCTCTAAAACTATGCTTTTTTTCCCCATGGTTTTTGATCTCTGTTTCCAAATCAGCTCATTTTCAGGGCTACTCATTGTCAACAGACAGTAAGACACCTTGGAAATACTTGCAATTGGATACGAAACTGCTCATGTTCCTTATCTTCATTCCTGAATGAGGGTAAGTAAGCTGTTTTATGTATGTTCACCTTTTGGAATGATGGCTAGCCTGTTAATGTTACCTGACATTGCTTTTTATAGACTGTCTTTGACATGTCTTTGGCTGTTTTGTAAAAGACCTAAATACACTGAGTAGCAAGGTTTCCTGTATTTTCCAGAAGTCACTGCCAAGGTCCTTCTAAGGTATTTTCAGAGCGATACAGTGTTGATGTGTCTGCCTTTGGGGATAGGCTTTAAGCTTATCACTCTTCGTGGCTGAAATAGAAGATGTGTGGCAGGTGTGGGTCAGATTATAGCATCAATATCACGCGGTGGAGAACATCTTGTCACCTGTCTTAGAAACGTACAGCCACATCATTAACAGCAGAGTATCCAGAATAAAGGAATGCACAGCTCCTGGGCCACTTCCGCCTCCGCCATTTGTTTCCCCAATCCTTGAAAACATGATCTACTAATAGAACATTCTGGTTATTTGGTCTTCTACCTCAGTGCTCTCTATCGTAAGCATGTCACTAACACACTCCTGTAAATCTTGTAGGTGACTTTAAGCTAAGAAACACAATTTTGTAATTTCACAAGATTACAAATTAGGACCTGGAAGACAGAAAACCAACTTAAAGATATAAAATTTTTTCTTACCCTCTCCAATGTAATTTCTTCAAATTCATACTCAATTTCTGTTCCATTGACCTATTAATAGGAAGAAAAAAAGGAAAGAGAATTACTAATGTGCTTAGAGTATGAGATTATACATTTAGAAAATGCTGGGGGAACTCCAGGTGTGACAGGCATACACCTGCCATTAGAAAATATTTCCTTCACATTGGGCTTTGGATTATATTTTTCTGTAAATGAAATGAGACATGACGAAAATAATTAATGATGATTCCATCGCTTAGAATGTTGTTGTTTTTTTAATGTGTGGGGATAGTACAAAATATGCATTATGAGTTTGTAAACAAATCATCAAAGAGCGATGATCTATAATTACAAAGGAAAAGTTTACTAATAACTCTTTAGACCGCATGAATAAAATCTAAAGTGTGACGTCTGAAATGGCAGTAAAACTCCAGGGGATGCCCCCCTACTCCTCTGCTTCCTCCTTCTCCTCTTGCCCCTCCTTTTTGTCCTCTCTTCTGAGGGGCAAAGCTATATTAAAAATGACTGAGTCAGTTAAGAAATTCCATTTCTTTATCGATCCAAGTTCAGGTAATATATTTCAATTACTCTTTCTTTTGCTATTCGAAGCCCTGGACCATGAAAGACTGCCCAAATATTTCAGAAGGAGTAAATGAATAAAGAAGGACCCATTTTAAAATTCCTCATTAGAGTTTGTTTCAGCCATCTAAACAATCCTTGAATAGATCTGAGTTTAGAAGAAGAATTTTGAATATAGCCGGGCACCTATGGGTCAACAGATATGCAGAGAGAATTATGAGGAAATGCTGTAAATTGAGCAAAAAAAAAAAACCAAAACAAAACAAAAACAAAAACAACAACAACAACAAAAAAACCCACTGAATTTCAGTTCTTATCTGCCACAGATTTCTTCTTAGAAAATTGTAATTTCTGAGAAAAAAAGTCTCAAACTGTCTATTACTTCCCCTCACCCCTAAAGTATGTCTTGCTCACACCATTAGAATTTAGGAATCATCAAGGGAGGCAGTTTTTCAACTACAAAATTGTGATTGCCTTTAAAGGCTCTAACAACTGTCTGGGTTTCTCTCCTCACAGAATTTAAATATAGTTCATGGAGAGCACTAGGGAGGCCAGGACTAGATTGCCAGCCCCTTTGCCCAGGGTCTAAGTTACTCAAGAGGGAGCTGATGAAGGAGAAACGGGAAATCAGCAAGTAATGAAACTAAGTATCCTGTTGATCTACAGCCACAGATGTATTTGTAGATTCTCTTTCACAGGAAACGGGGAGGGAATAGCATTGGCAGAAGAGGTACCTGCAGTAGTAATCGGAGAAATCATAGAGCCGTAAGCATGGTGGGCTGTGCCTCAGCGACTCGTTCGGAGCATGTTTTTGATTATTCAATTACACAAGCTAATTGGTGAATCACATTTTACTATGTTATTACATTATCAAACAGACCTAAACTAAATTTGATTTTCTGGGCTTCAGCAATTTAATGACTCACAGAAAAGGACTTCGTGATGTCAGAAAGCTTCAGCAACTCTAGGAAGGGTTTGGTTGAGGAGTGTATGCAAAGACAGAAAAAATAACAACAACCAAAACTCCTTGTATGTGTATGCCTCTGCCTGAACTTTGGTTTATCTCTCTGACTTTCCATAGCTGATAGGAGGACAGCAGGAGGAGACTGACTTAATGTGATGTGTTTCTGTTTACTCAATAGGGCTCCATGGAGCCTTTTCTTTGCTTCACCGACTCTCTAGAGTGAAGCCCTTCATGGTGCTGAAGTGCTGCAAACTGGGGAGGAGGAATAAGCTCCAAAGAGGGGAAAATAAGCCCCTGGGAGTAAATATCCAAAGATGCAAAGCGAAAGGGATTCTTTCATGAAACAGAAGACAAGAATTTCTACTGGTTTGCATCACAGAGGATATATCATAGCATATATAATTTTTGCTCTACAGTTCTAAGATTATGCATGCAGAATGTTAGATCCTAGACTCATTCTTTATGTACATAATAATTAGCATTCTGAAGTTCCCTAGTCAGCTTCATGAGCAGGTCACACAAGCCTTGTCAGCAGGCATCTGTGTGCTCCAAGGATCTTTAGCTTTCAAGTGAAGAATGTAATGTCATCTCTCTAAGATAACAATATCCAGACTCCTTTTGAGGGTAGAGAGTGGCACCCAGGATGTAACCTTGCTTTAAAAAGAAAGAATATCATGTCTGTAGCAAAATCTATTGAAACAAAAGAAAAATGAATTCTTTTTAATCATAGGCAAGTCAACATTTCAGCCTTAATTGAAAAACATTTTAAACAAGGAATCAGAAAGCTAGTGTGGGAATTCAGGAATAAGAAATTTTAGAGGGTCTAATGTCTAGTCTCTCATTAGAAGAGTGGTGCTTTTATTCCCTTGATGAACTCTAAAAAAAAAAAAGGCGAACTACATACTCTCTTGGCAGAGATTTTGATAGAAAGAACAAAACACAGAACTATACTGATCTCCAAAGTGGTTGAACAGGTTCACATTCTCACCAGTAATTGGAGAGTGTTCCCCTTCCTCCACATCCTCTTTGGCATAAGCTATCATTGATGTCTTTTAATCTTAGCCATTCTTACTGGTGTAAGGTGGTATCTCAGATTCATTTTGATTTGCATTTCCCTGATGACTAAAAAAGTTGAACATTTCCTTAAGTGTCTTTCAGTCATTTGAGATTCTTCCTTTGTGAATTCTCTGTTTAGATCTGTACCCCATTTTTATTGAATTATTTGGAATTTTAATGTCTAATTTCTTGAGTTCTTTATATATGTTGGAGACAATTCCTCTGTCTGATATGGGGTTGGTGGAGATCTTCTCCCATTCAATAAGCTGCCTCTTTTTTTTGTCTTATTGACTGTGTCTTTGCTTTACAGAAGCTTCTCAGTTTTAATAGATTCCATTTAGTTATTATTGCTCTCAGTGTCTGTGCTACTGGGGTTATATTTAGGAATTGGTCTCCTATGCCCATGCATTATTGGCTACTTCCCCACTTTCTCTTCTATCAGGTTCAGTGTGGTCATATTTATATTGAGGTCTTTATTTAATTTGGACTTGAGTTTTGTGTGTGGGGATATGTTTGAATTTTTCTACAGGTTGACATCCAGTTATTCCAGCACCATTTCTTGAAAGTGCTTTCTTTTTTCTATTGTATAATTTTAGCTTCTTTGTCAAAAATGAGGTGTTCATTCAATTTCATTGTTCAACCTGTCTGTTTTTATACCAATACATAGTTGTTTTCACTACTGTAGCTCTACAATAAAGCTTGATGTTAAGGAAAAAAAAAAAAAAAAAAAAAGAATATCTGTGCATTTTATCTGTATTTTAATGAGAGCTTCCTAAGTCTTGGCTGTGATTTTATGGATGTTTAAACCTTTTCAATTAATAGGACCAGGAGAATATTCCTTCAGTGTTTCCCACATTTATTTAGATGGTAGCAATTTACTGAGAGGAGATGAATCAAGGAGTATCTAGCAGAGAATCATTACCACCCATCATAGTGAACATCATCATCCAGAGGTCAAAACTGTTGAGGATGGCTCTTGTTCTCCTGGCAATGGAGTTTACAGACAAGACGCTGCTGTGTGATCTACCCCCAAGGTTTCGGGTTAATCCATATTAGTCCCTTAACATGTAACTTTCTCCTTTTATTTGTGCGTGTATGTGTGGATGTGTGTGTGTGTGTGTGTGTGCGTGTGTGTGTCTGTATGTGTGTGTGATGTATGTACATGAAAGTTGGGGGCATGTAAATCATACAATATGTGTGGAAGTCAGAGGACAAACCTCTGTTGGTACCCATCTTCTACATTGTTTGTTCTAGCAGGCCCATGAGCTTCTAAGAGATTTTCCTGACTCTACCTTCCTTCATAACCTAAGATCACAGAGGTTACAGATCTATGCTGATGTTTATGTGTGCTTGAAGGATTTGAACTCAGGACCTCACACTTTTACAAAAGCATTGTATTTGCAAAGCCAATTCCCCAACCATTCTGACATGAAACTTTCCACTTATATGAAGTTCTATATCTGAAAAGAATTCTAGCCAATATGTTTTCCCTTGAGAATTCACATCTCCTGTGATATCTAAGCATGTTAGTAATATATTGCGTTTTTGATAGGGCTAGAGAAAGTTGCATGGTTGAGGCCCCTGCTATTCTGATTCTGGTCCTATAGTCCAGACCAGTCCTCTGGTCACGTATAGTCTCTTCTTTAGCTTAAAAAGTAGAAAACTGAAGGACTGTCACTGTGGAAAATCAACAAGATACACAGAATTTCCCAGTTTTGAGAAATATGGTTTTAATAAAACAGGCTATTTTCATTATCCTTGGTTATCTACCATAGCTACAAGATTCTATTGCCGAAAACACAACACACTTTGGCTGCAGAACATAGAGAAATCACTCTCAAACCAATTGCGAAGCTTCCTTCCTCCTTTGGTCGCACTGCTGGTGGGGAAAAGACATATCTAGTGGAGACACAGTTTGCTGTACTACCTACCAGCTAGGCAACATGTGCCTACCTGTTGCACACGACTATAATGCTGTGACTAGTTGCTTTCCAACTGGATTTAAGGCTTGTTCCACAAGAGGGAATTTCATCCTGGTGCTGTTAATCTAGTCAAAAGCTCATGGCCATTAGCATAGGGTAGAGCCTGCTTTTGGTTTGCTTAATGGACATGATGTCAAATTGCCTTCCAACTATTTACATTTATATTCATAGATAGGGGCTTTTCTCAACCTTGGTTCACTTTTTTTCTAGTTCTCGGCAGTCAATGCAGAGTCTGCTAAGAATAACAAATTATGAGTACACAGCCTTAAATGGGACGTGCTCATCAGCAAGCTGCTACCCCAAGGCTTAGGAGACATGGAAGAGGAGACAGAAAGAGCAAAGGAGCTGAGAAATCAGGAGGGATGTGGTAAGATATGCTGTCTTCCAGAAATGGTGTTACTGCTGACCACGACCTCATGGCATGTTTGGTTATCCTCACCAGATCAAGCCAGACAAAATACTCGCATTGA